AATCCGATCGAGAATTTGTGATCGTCGATGAAAGCCCAAATCAAGACACTCCGGCGTGAGCCACTAGCCGCGTTCATGGGCCCACCACCGAATGGTTTAACTCGAGATGAATTCCGAATTCAATATCTCGAGCGAATTGCTGAACAGGTTATCGTTGGTAACTTTCGCAGCATTATTGCATTTCTTAAAAGTTTGAATAGGGGTCGATGCTAACCGTTTGAATCGATACACGCTACGCCTCGAATACTTTTACGGACGCGCGGAGGCCATGGACGACATGGAAGTTGGCATGTGATGCCAAAACGAGGATGTTATGTGTATCATTTCGACTGCATTTTTTAATTGAGTTCAATTTTTAATTTGAGTTATTCTATTTTCATCGGGCACACGACACAAATTCATCGGCAGATGGCCAATTGCTTGGGCACACGGCTAATTATATCGGGCACACCGCCAAATATATCGGGCACACGACCTCGGCGGGCCAAATTAAACGGGCACATGGCTAATTATATCGGGCACACCACCAAATATATCGGGTGCACGGCCAAATACATCGGGCATTCGTCCAACTTAACTGCAAAAAGGTGTAGTAGCTGTTAAATCTGAGACGCAGGATTTCTTCACCACGTCACAGTAAATTTGGTGAAGAATTGGTCAAGAATTTTTTTGTCGATTTTCTTCAAATTTCCCAATCACAAACCGAGCCGAGACATCTGATTGGCCAATATCCACTTCGCCCTTTCCAGTAGAAACTCGAAAATAGATTGTAGCCAATCAGCGACAAGTAATTTCAGAAAGACCAATGGGAGAGATTGGTGCTCGATTCGCTCGGCGAGATTCGATTGAACGGGGTCCGGAAATTCATACCGAATCTCCAATACTACAGTAACGTTATTAGACATTTATCCAAGCGGTATTTTGAACTGGGCACCAATCCCTCGATCCCAAATTACTTATCGCTGATTGGCTAGAATATAGATTTGGATTATATGAAAGGACGATGTGGATATTAGCCAATCAGATGTTTCGTCGTTATTGTGCTCGATTGACTGACTGTGAATAACCATCGAAAAATGGGAAATTTGAAGAAAATCGACAATAATTACATAATACTGGAGTAATAGTATCAATACGCTGAGTTTACGGCATGCGCCCTCCTCCATTCCTGCGCAGTATAGTACTGTCTGTAATGCACGATAGTGTACTCTGTTTTTGTACATGTACCAGCACTAGTCCTCGTCGCTACGTCCATGTACGATTGCTGGTACAGTATTATGGCTACAGTACGGGTACACATTGCCTGCTGCATTGCATCGACAGTGTTATGGCTACTGTACCGGTACACATTGCCGCATTGCATCGAGCTAAAACTGTACTGTACTGTACGTAGTCTTGAACCGATCCAAACTCGCGAGTCACCAGACATGATTGCCGGAGGGTCCTGTGTTGGAATCTTTTGGCTATTCAGCTAAAGATTGCGAGAGTTGCTAATGGACACAGAACTTTAGGTCGTTGCTGGTCGCTGGACGAGCCTGGACGCACCATCTCACGTTACTCGGTCTGCATATTGATCCACGGATACAATGAATTCGGCCGACGACACGAGAAAGGTACACTGCCATACCGTGGACCCAACTGGCCGGATGAAGTTGTTGTCAACTTCTGACGCCCAACCAACCTCACCCCAGATCCTATATAGCCACAACATGCAAAAGACAAGGGAATCACAGGCATCAAAGAACAACCAAACTACGTGCAATATATATCCGCACTCTTGGTGTAACGTTACAGTTTGACAAAGGAGACGATACATTGAAGTTGCGAAAGTGCAATGTCAGTCGATGCTAACCGTTTGAATCGATACACGCTACGCCTCGAATACTTTTACGGACGCGCGGAGGCCATGGACGACATGGAAGTTAGCATGTGATGCCAAAACGAGGATGTTATGTGTATCATTTCGACTGCATTTTTTAATTGAGTTCAATTTTTAATTTGAGTTATTCTATTTTCATCGGGCACACGACACAAATTCATCGGCAGATGGCCAATTGCTTGGGCACACGGCTAATTATATCGGGCACACCGCCAAATATATCGGGCACACGACCTCGGCGGGCCAAATTAAACGGGCACATGGCTAATTATATCGGGCACACCACCAAATATATCGGGTGCACGGCCAAATACATCGGGCATTCGTCCAACTTAACTGCAAAAAGGTGTAGTAGCTGCTTGCGCCCTCCTCCATTCGTGCACAGTATAGTACTGTCTGTAATGCACGATAGTGTACTGTTTTTGTCCATGTACCAGTACTATGCAGTCCTCGTCGCTGCGTCCATGTACGATTGCTGGTACAGTATTATGGCTACCGTACCGGTACACATTGCCGCATTGCATCGAGCTAAACTGTACTGTACTGTACGTAGTCTTGAACTCATACTGATTGCCGGAGGGTGCTGTGTTGGGGGGAATCTTTTGGCAATTCAGATAAAGATTGCGAGAATTGCTAATGGACACAGAACTTTAGGTCGTTGCTGGTCGCTGGATGAGCCTGGACGCACCATCTCACGTTACTCGGTCTGCATATTGATCCACGGATACAATGAATTCGGCCGACGACACGAGAAAGGTACACTGCCATACCGTGGACCCAACTGGCCGGATGAAGTTGTTGTCAACTTCTGACGCCCAACCAACCTCACCCCAGATCCTATATAGCCACAACATGCAAAAGACAAGGGAATCACAGGCATCAAAGAACAACCAAACTACGTGCAATATATATCCGCACTCTTGGTGTAACGTTACAGTTTGACAAAGGACGACACATTGAAGTTGCGAAAGTGCAATGTCAAGTTGAGAATGCGCTGGCTTTCTGAGTCAACATTGGTTTTCATGAGCTTACAGTTAACTGTTACTACAGTAAGTAAGTCTGAGGATTTCTTCACCACGTCACAGTAAATTTGGTCAAGAAATACTACAGTAACATTAGTACAGTACTTCGAAGTAGACATTTAACCAAAGGGTATTTTGAACCGGGCACCAATCCCTCCATCCCAAATTTCTGGTTGCTGATTGGCTACAATATAGATTGCAATTCTACGAAAGGGTGATTTGGATATTAGCCAATCAGATGCCTCGTCGTTATTTGTGATCGATTGACTGTGAATAAACATCGAAAATTGGGAAATTTGAAGAAAATCGACAATAATTACTACTTCGAAGTACCTTTAAAAATCTATCTATCTCCCCTTCAAACCCGCCCTGCCCCCCCCACGAACCAGATGTAAATAGAAAAAGGGGGTCCAAAACCCATATGGTAAAATCGCGTAGAACGTGTAGCCCACACTCCCAGAATACTCTAGTGTAGTAACGTTAAATGGTCGGCTATGTCTATCCGGATACGGATAAAACAGATTTCGTACTACTAACGTTAGTATTAATATACTAACGTTACCGGTACTGGAGTGGTGATTATGTCTATCCGGATACGTATAAAAACAGATTTCGTACTATTAACGTGTGATAGGAGTATGTATACACAAGTAGTGGCAACATTAATCTTTACAACGTGACAAACGAGCCCAAGATGGTCATGATCGTTCGGACAAGCCGCGTCGCGTCTGGCCGCAGCATCGGGTCCGCCTGCATGCACGCGCGCGCCAAGTGCTGAATTTGTTCGGGGCAGTCGGGGGAAAACGTCGGTCGGAGGCGGTTCACGGCGACCAGCTGCATGATCTGACGCTCCTCGAGCGTCGAGTCCGAGTACGGAATAGCGTGCGTGTCCAGTTCAGACAGAAGCACCCCGAACGAGTAAATGTCGGCTTTTTCGCTGTAATCTTCGTTGATCAGCACCTACAGCATCCAATTCATTCGTTCAGCATCTTATCCTATCCGTTCCATACTGTACCTCGGGCGCAATCCACCGCGCGGTCCCGACGTTGGACGTCATAGTCTCCTCGAACGTGCGGGTACGCGACTCCCCAAAGTCGCAAATTTTGGCACCCTTGGCCGAGTCCACCAACACGTTGCGGGCCTTGATGTCTCGGTGGATGATGGGCGGCGACCGCGTGTGCAGCGACGCCAGGCCCTCCGCCACGTGCAGCGCGTACGTGCCCTTGTCGCCAGCCCACCCGACCGCGTTCGTCGGCTGCTTGGTGCGCTGGAGGCACTCGAAGAGGTCGCCCTTGTCCATGAACTCCATCACAAGCGCGATGTCGTCAGATGTCGGCACGACGACCCCCAACAGCCCAATGATGCGCGGATGCTGCAGTCGAAACAACAGGTTGGACTCGACGATCAAGTTGCGGAGCGCGTCGTCTGCATCTGCCGCCAGATCGGCCAGCTTCTTGACCGCACATGCTTGGCCGGCGTACGTGGCGAGCCACACGACGCCCTTGGCCCCGCGCCCCAGTACCCGTGTGTACACCATATCGTCGGCCTCGAGCATCGGAATCGCAGGGTTGAGCGCGTCGCTGATGGACACGGTGCTCGTGCGGTTGGGGGTCCCCGTGTGAAAGTATGACTTGCCCAATGTGGCCGGCGCGTCCTTGTCGTTGGTGAAAGGGCCGAATGGGTTGTTGTTGGGGTTGCTGCTGCTGCCCCCCGTGGCGGTGCTCGTGTACCGAGGCAGGGGTTCCGCCGACGACCCTCGGTGCGGATCCGACTTATGACCGGTGGGGTGTTGTGGCCGCGGGAAGCTGCAGTCCGAGCGGCGGTGGGGGTTGCTGGGCCGACGGTTGTCATAGGGATGGTACGTGGTGGTCGCCTTGGCCTTTCGCCGGCGGTAGAAAATGACACCGACGATGAGCAGAAGCACCGCGCCTCCGACGGTGAGACCCACGATAATGCCCGTGGAAGGGGAGGACGAAGGGGGAGTCACAGTCACGCAAAGGCTTCCGCTGGTGGAGATGGGCTGCAGAGTCGCCCCCGCTTCGCAAGGCGGGACCGCCCCACTGGGCAACGTGAGCTGCTTGATGCGCTTCAACGCTTCAAATTCAGCGGACGAGATCGCGCTGTTTCCCAACGGGTTCTCACCCAGCGATCTATTCCGTGTATGGATATATATATATATATATATATACATGCATGTGACGAATAATAAATAGAAGATAAGATGCTATCACTTGTGACCTTACAGTGTTGTGAGATTGAGGCCAAAGACTGTGGGCGGGATGCGCGTGAGGGCATTTTTCGTGAGCACCCTATGGAACCAAAATGTGAGCTAAATTAAGAGCTCGTGTAGCTAGGCGGTTAGCCAAGCTTAGCCGCGAGAAAAGTTTGTGTAGCCATGGTTAGCCCAGAGATTAGCTAGGCGGACGACGTACAAGTGCTCGAGTTTGGGTGGAAAAATCCAGGCGATTTGCGGGAGTTGACAGTTGGTTAAGTCGAGGCGGGTTAGGCCAGCGAACTTGGCGTAATCCTGTGAACTCGGGTCGGGAAAGGTGGGCACGGGGGAGTTGTTGCCCTCGAGGCTGAGTGACGTGACGCCGGGGCCAAGAGGAACTTTGGCCAGCTCCACCACGCCGCTGTTTTTGATCGTAACCGAGGTCACGCTGGCAGGCAAGGACGTCAGCTGGAGCAGCTCCACATTATCCACCACGCTACGAGTGACCATTCACATGGGACGTGTGGCGACGAGTTGGCTTACAATGATGTAGGCTTGGCAAGGCTCAAGAAGGACGAGTCTACTATGACCTTTTTCCTGGAGATATCCTTAACGCCTTGGAGCGTCACAGTACCCCTACATGGCATTGAGATATGCTGCGTTTGGTTGCGCGACATGATCAACGTACGTGACAGACGACGGAAGGGTATAGCCGTAGATGTTGCTAATGATGGCTCGGTTTGGCTGGTCGTTGATACCGATCGTAAAGGTGAAGTCAGTGCCGGGATCACTAACAACAGTCGGTTGGCAGGCATACTGGACCCCGCAGTTCTCGCTCACAGCGATGAGTTTGCATGCTTCTCCCTGTTTGCAGTCGTTTCTGTTGGGGAACTTGATGCATGCGTTGTTGGTCCTTGTGGATGGGCACGTAGTAGGGCACGACCCAAGGTGTGGCACTGTGCATTCGTCGGCCATGTTACGGAATGCGTAAAGTCTGCCTATGTTGCCGCTGGCTACTGTACCTTGCCAATCTGCTGAATTCCAAAATATACTGCGTTTTAGTATAGTTATCAAACCGCACTTAAAGTAACTGAACTCAATTGAGAAATGAAGAATCAATGGCATATTGCATCGAGTTTCAATTGAGTCATTTGTTGTCAGGTCGGTCGAGCCTTTTTGGTAGGGACGCCAAGCACCACGCGATAGATACGAATCATATCATACGTGAATATTGTATCCGTGGTGTTGGTCGTGGAAGTGAGTACCTTTATATATATACTAGTATGTAGATTAGTCTTACGACGCAAAGTACCATGTGACCGAATTCGATTTGGTCGTGATGTCAACATTCCGCTGACAATAGTAATATTAAACTGGTGTTTTGTATACTTTGTCTTCCCATCCGCATCAAGGTCACTGCCGAGTTGAGCTCATCGGCTCCAAATTTGTTGGAGCGCGCAGTCATGGCTTCATAAGATCCCAACTCAAATCAGCATGAAGGGCGTCGTTTCTGTTCATGGAAAGCTCAACTTTGTAACAGTCACCATGAAGGGTCGCCTACTCGTTGGCGCTTCGACCGCGTGGCTTGTGTGGGCAACGATGGGTCCAGTTGTCGCACACCACCGCCTCCTGCAAGAAAGCACCGTGGACTACATACCAATGGACGACCCTCGACCGACGCTGTCTCCCTGGGAAGACGACATCCCTACGCTGATCCCCACACCAGCCAGCACCACGAAACCTTAACTCAGCCCCTCCAAAAACACACATACACATGCCTTCATGTAACAGCACGAAGCCGATCCAATAATAATACGTTATCTCCCTTGCTTGAAGTACACGATCAAGCCTACCGTGCAACCCCCCAGGCACAGTCCCACCACGAATAGCGCCATACCAGAGATGGCGGCATCATCCTTGACAGATGGTTTCTCAACTTCCTCTTGTACGAGGCCGTCACCTGCTTGGGTCGACGAGTCTTGTGTGACTGGGGTTGCTTCTGCTGCTGCTATTGAAGTCAGCGTTTTGTCGGGCTTACTGGAGGGTAGGGGCGTCGTGTCGTAATGGCTGGCTTCAAGTGCTGAGACGCACGCACATACTGATAAAACCTGTCGTGGTGGCGGTGGTGGTGCGCTGCTGGATGGAACTGCCACGTCAGTAGCTGTAGTAGCCACAGCAGAGTCGTGGGTAGCACTGGGCTGCAGTTGGATGGTGTCTGGTGGCTGTGACATGGTGACCTTCACAACTCCACCGCCTTCGACGTCTTCAATCCCGTCACGTTCCTGCACTGGAACAGATACTGCGCATTGCCACCTCGTTATTGAATCCTGGTTCGAAGGGCTTGAAGGAGGAGTGTTTGAGGAGCTGTCAGTCGCGACATCTTGAGCCCACGAGTCTCGTTTTGTCAATGTTGTGTCAGCGGATCGTGTCGAAAGTTCCCACTTGTCTGGGCAAACACTATCCAGTTGAACCACGTCCGCCACTTCGTCATCCGAGATAACGTCACTTGGTTCTGCATCCGAGACCAATGCTGTTGCGGCAGAAGCAGGACATCTCTCCACGGATGTTGTACCCTTGCCGAGCAAAGGTGAATTGGGGCTTCGACGGTGCATGGCAAACGTGGAAGGGTGGTGTAGGTCCAATGGGATGGTTTTCTCGGGGCTGTTCTGCGTCCATGAATCTCGCTTCAAAGTGTCCGACGTGATCCCTTTGTCGGTAGAAATCGTAGGCTCGGCGGGGTCGCCGTCGCCACCAAGTACGGTGATTAAGTGGCTGACAGGAATCGGGTGGACGGCGAGAGCGGCCGACGCCCACACCGACTCGTCCGTCGCCATGCGACCGTCTGAACTTTGATTCTCCACTTGGTCGTCCAAGAATTCGTTCCGAGACACCATCGTCGTCACGTGCTTGACGCGGTCCACAAACTGCAACGTCGCGAGGGTGTCACTGACCCCCTTTTTGTCGTCCGCCAACACGGTTGCGACCACCGTGGTCGTCGAGTTCCCGCCAAGCGCTTCTCGCAGTAAAAACGTCAGTTTGCAGTCGCGGTACGGCACGTGGCGCAGTCTGCTGCCACGGGACACGTCGCCAAGCGCCAGAATCACGTTGGCCAAGCTTGACAGCGACTTGTTGATCTGCGTGGCGTCCTTCACGCCCGAGTTCATGGCCGCGTGGTTGGGGCGCTCCGACCCGGCCAAGTCCACGCAATGCAGCACCGACGACATGCCCTTGGTCGTTCCCGTCTTGGATTGCTTTGTCTGGGTCAGGCGAATAGAGAACACCGTGTGTGACCGCGAACTGTCGCGGTTGGATGCTGCTTTTCTGGCTTTGCACCCGATGTCGAGCCAATGAAACGCGTCGGTGGCGCTCCGAATGGGCTGTTCGACCAAATTCTGGACATACACTTGGTGACACGCCGTGTTTTCACGAAGGGACTTGGGGCCGCTGTCGCGACCGTCCAATAAGTCGTACAGTTTCTCATGGTAAATGTCCACAAACGCACATGTGCATGTAAACTCGGACTATACACCACCACCATGTAAACAAACCTAGGCATTGTTAAGTATGAAGTCGCATACATGTTGCAGTTGGTCAAACAGGTGATCCAAGATCCGAAGGGTGAGGCCGCGGTCGTCGCTTGCAGGGTTCAGCTCTCCCTGCCCATTCATTTTCAGGCGTCATAGCAAGCTTCGAAGTACGTACGTGCATGGTGTGGGTTTTGCCCGAGCCGGACGTTCCGTAGGCAAAGATGCTGCCGTTGTACCCAGCTAGAAAATTGGCTACACTGGCAACCCCCACCGCCTCGAACACGTCTTCTTGGGTTGATGTGCTCCTGAGCACCCCGTCCACCACATATTGCTTCCGTTCCGAGAGCTTTTGATGGTCCACGTCAATGAACACCTTGCCGGACTTGAGCGGTCGACACTTGAGCCAAGTCGTCGTCGTCGCCCCAGCTGTCGGTGGACGTACCCGAAGAAATGTACGGACACGAGATGACGTGGCAGCACAATTGTCAGCTGTGGCATTAACAAGACGCGCTGTTTGGGAGAACTTGGGTGGGGACGAGTTGGATCGATGGAGTTTCAACGGACTGGACGGGCTAACTTGATATCAGCAATGAGTCGACTAAACGCAGAGAGAACTACCTTGGAGGCGACACCTCCGATGCGCGCAGCTTCAAGACATGGCTGTCGGGGGATGAGCTGGTCCGCCGTGATACTTTGGGCCGTGGTATTACGCTGGGCATATCGGCGCAATGTTGCATGCCGTCAGGTAGCACTGGTGGAAGGACAATATTTGGTTCTATTCTTAGCGCAGTCCTTCAACAGACACAAAGGACAGTGAGGGTAGATGCGACGGAGATAAGGAAACGGTCAACGGTTCAATGGAACCGAGTAGTCTGAGTTGCCACAGAAGGACGTACATAATCTTCGGAGCATCATGATCAAACAAAAAATATGTATTCTAAAGGGCCATGACCTTTGTAGTACAGTTCTGTTGCTGCTTCCTGCTTGGAGCTTAGCATTGTCACTGCAGAGTATAGCACTTTTCTGTGGATAGTTCCTTTGAATTTTCAACCACGTCGAAATGTACAACGTACCCGTTTTGGTTACAGCGTAGTTTGAGCATTTGCACAGTAGTCAATTGTCGACTTATTTGGAGTGGTGGTCTCGTGTGGTCTAAAAATAGAATGAAAACATCGTGACTTACTGTTCGGGTACAGTCCTGACAAAAACTATAGACGCACTCGAGTTTTTGAAATATTTAAAAACATATTCACTTTTGAATCATCGCACTTTGGGATTATACTTTGAATTGGTATCGAATTGTGATACAAGACTAAAAATTGGTGAAATCCATTTTACTTTTTTGTAAAATTGAGAAAAACCAGTTTTCAGTGTGATAAAAACTATAGACGCACTGCGATTACATCCAAATAAAGCCAAGTTTCTAGCCACTTTTGCCCAATTAAAGCATTCTAGAACATTCTAAATGTAAGTAATTGCAGTCCTAGCTTGTCAAATCATCATTATTCAAAAACTTTCATGCCAAGAGGCAAACGTTTGACCTCGGAGCAAGTTGGCGCCGTTCATGTCTTTCACAATGAAGGCAAAAGCAATCGCTACATTGCTAAAGCCATTGGATACAGTGAAAATGCCATAAGGACATGTTTGAAGTCCAAAACCACGCCAAGACCGAATAAACCAATTTGTCGTAAGCCAAACGTCACCAAACGAATGTTGAGACAAATCTTTCGCCTAGCCACGGTTAAGCATTTCTCGTCCAAACGGATCGCCGACGCACTAAATAACACAGTAAAAGCATCTACAGTGCGACACTGGCTGCGCTCAACAAAGCTTGCCAAATACATCAAGAGAAAACCTCGCCCAGCGCTCAAAAAACACCATAAGAAGGCGAGGGCAAAATTTGCTGCCGAATGGATGTCCAAATCAAACCTCTGGGCCAACGTCGTCTTCAGTGACGAAAAGAAATTCAATTTGGATGGCCCAGATGGCTATCAATACTACTGGCACGACCTCAGAATGGAGCAAGAAATTTACACCAAGCGAGTGAGTGGTGGTGGAAGCGTCATGATTTGGGCTGGAATGAGCGCGTTTGGACGCACTGAATTGGCCTTCCTCGAAGGCAAACAAAACAGTACTAGTTACTGCAGGACGTTAGACATGTACCTGTTGCCATTTTTGGGAAAACTGTGTTGCCAACATGGCATAATTGACCCCATTTTTCAACAAGACAACGCCTCCATCCACGTCTCAAGATTCACAAGAGCTCATATCGAGCAAAGCGGCATTGGTTTAATGGATTGGCCTGCCAAAAGCCCCGATCTCAACCCTATTGAAAATGTATGGGGCCAGTTATCCTGGCTAGTTTACCAAGGAGGGCGCCAATTTAGCACCGTGGATGAACTCAAGGCCCAGATTCGCGTTTCTTGGGAGCAACTGCAGGGAAGTTACCTCGAAAATCTTGTGGAAGGTATGCCAACAAGAATGGCTCAAGTAGTTTTGAAAAACGGAGGTGCAATCGATAAATAGTGAATGAAATCTCAGTGCGTCTATAGTTTTTATCACCCTGAAAACTGGTTTTTCTCAATTTTACAAAAAAGTAAAATGGATTTCACAATTTTTAGACTAACGTGATCGACCAGTGATGGGCCGATTTTTTTCTTTTTTCTTTCGTGAATTCCTCATGAAGTATATATCCTGTAGCGATGTGTTGGACGTAATCTGAAAGAGCACGTCAAGATCTGTCACATACACCTAAACACAATGGATTTAGACAGTTTGCGATGACGTAAATAATTTCGCAAGTTGCAAAATTTACATTGACGACCAGTGATGGGCCGAAATTTTATACTTGAATTAAGTATCGATTAGGGTTGTGTAAAAAACAGGCGAGCAGACTGGAAATTATCAAATGATAAAGGTATATTATATTTGAACAGGAATAAGATATTGCGGAACTGTACTGCACATTCTCACTTTTTCGGACACAAAACCGTACCACGTGGCAATGTTCAGCAGGTGGGTCAAATACCCACATGTTTTCGAAGTGTCCTGTCAAGAGGGACGAGGAAAGAACCAAACGTAGATGAGCGGTACAGTATGTAGGACGTACTATTAATAGTAGATGAGCGAGGATAACGTAGGCGAGCGGTGGAATAGTGCCGAACGTAAACCAGCCAACAAGTACATCCTATCCCTGTGTTTATCGACCTCGTCAAAGCGGCCATGTTTGTACGTCGGCACGACGCACACTACAGTGTACTAGTACCGTACAGCAAATGGGGATGGTGCAAGATCACAAACTGCACGCATTCATTGCACCTACTACTCCTGGAGTGCAGTACAGTACTGTACACAGGGTTGTTGATATGCGTAAACATTGCGAGGCGTGCACTACAGTACTGGTAGGTGCTCCAGAAGTGCTGCAACAACAAACACAGCGGTAGTTCTGCTTACTTGTACCGGTATTCCCCGAAGGATTTTCAGGGAAATTGTATTGGAAGATTCGTGTGGATAATTACTCTACCTAATGGGCTTT